AGTCCTTGCTCGTAGTTTGACTACAAGGGGTTTAAGTTTTAGGTTCTGAATTCAGACCATAACTGCAGAGGATCACAATCCCCAAAAACAGCTCCAACCCTCTTCTTGCCTTAGAAGCGGTTGTTCGCATGACTTTGGACGATTGACTTAAACTACTTGCCCAGTTTCCTCTAGCGGCCGAAGGAGATCTCTAAGGATTGGGGAAGGGATGTCTGACATCCCTAAACCCTAAACCCAAACCCCTCCAGAGGTTCACATCTTTGAAGCCCTGAACCCAAAAGCTGCATCCCTTAACCCAAAACCCAAAGTTTCCCAGCATCTCATAGCCATCGTTGCCTTCCGACCACCAAGAAATGCAAGAAATGCCATGGCTCTTCCAATGACCACCTTTCGGTCCTTCTTTCCCAGCACAGTCCCTGCTGCAAACGAAGCAATGTTGCTGGCCATCTAGGGCAAGGCGGCCCGGCTCATGCTGACTGAGCACCGTGCTAATCCAAGCCATGTCCATAGCACACGAACATATTCCAATGGGACTTGTCGTAGCTTGGCCGCTCAGCCGAATGCGCTTGCTTCACAGGCTGTGAAACGGCACTCTTTGCATGCACACTCTGCATCCACAAAGGGTTTGAAGTAGGGTTTAGGCTTCCTTATTGAAAGGCCGAGAACAAACAAGGCTGCCCCTCTGATGCTTCCGAGCCGCACTAATGGTGCCTCCGATGGTGGTGCCTCCAACTTCCGCGCCTTTTGGTTGAGGGCTTAAGGTGGGGTGTAGGGTTGAAGGATCTAGGATGGTTTACGGATTAGGGCCGAATAGGGGTTAAGCTTCGGGGTTTAGGATTTGTCAAGTTCCGGGTTGAGGCTTTGGGGTCGGGATCAGCGTTTGGAACTTAATGGCTTGCGGTTTTAACCACTCACCATGACAAACCCTGCAAAAGCTTCGAACTCACTGCAGCGCCTGTAAATACATCGGGGCCGAATGCTTCAACACACGGTAGACGACAAGCGTGCCAGCAGAGGGGTGCATACGGGACTGAAGATGACAAAGATGTTGTACATGAGTATGGAGATCTATGCACTGTTGTGACTTATGCTATCAGATGAACAGCAGGTAATCGACAACAAACAGCGGCCGCTGCCCGTAATACTGGTGTCAGTGGCAGTCAGCGTCACCACCAGAAACACCACCAAGAAAGGCATATTCATTGTAGTGGGTTCTGGCTGAGATGTAGTACCTGAAAAATCACACCAGACACGGGCAACAACAGATTGAACAGCAACCAAATCAATGGCAGGCTGCAGCAGCAGCAGAAGCAGCACAAATGCCACAATCAGCAGCAGCAGCAACAACAACAGCAGCAATGTCACTCTAAAACAGAGAGAGAGAGAGAGAGAGAGAGAGCGTGCGCACGCACCCACATGTACATACAACCATACAACACAAACAACACTCATCCAGCATCAGCATCATCACCACTACCATCAGATTCAGTCATCATCATCAGCGGCAGCAAAACAGCCACCACAGTTCACCGATGCAACAGCACAGCAAAAACAGCTGTGACAGCAGAACTCACTTTGCCGGTATGCCACCTTCCCAGCCCCAAGCCGTACTTAAACCCTCAGCCCTAAACTTCCCTAAACCCAGGGAACGCAAGTCCTCTTGGTTTTGGAACATACTTTAGATTTAGATTCTATAGGACTTCTAATTATGATTTAAGTCATTTCCTACATTAAAACACGCTATGTATGGGGCTCTTTGGGAAAACGACATGACGACAGCACCAGGTGGGTGGCCTTCGGCGGCTCGACTCGCGGAGACGGGACCATGGTGAGTGAAGAGAACTGCTTTGAAGAGGATTCCGGAGAAATCTTTTAGGGCTTCGGGTTCAGTGTTTAGGGTCTCGGGTCTGAAAGGCTCTAATTAGTGTCTTGGGGTTTGGAATCTGGTGGTTTACAACTCTTGAAACCTTAGGCGGCGAGCTGGGACATCTTTGCAGTGCTGGTTATGGGTGTTTGGTTAAGGTGTATGGTGTATGTACGGGGGCTAAGCTGGAAACTTGTCCCGGGACCAGTCCTGGCATGCAGTCCTTTACCTTGAGCCGCAACGCTGACGAAAGTGAGGCCTGTGCCTACAACGTGCTTCGGGGGCTTTACAGGGTATATGACTTTGAAGGGCTGGGCGCTTGAAGTCCTACACCTTGCAAACTTACACTGACTTACACTACCAAGGCCTTGCCAAAAAAAACTTCGAACACCCTACACAAAAGCTTAGAAGGCTTAGAAACCCCTTCCTACGCCCTTATGCCCCAGTACTGCATAGGTCCCCCTGAGTAGAAAAGCCTTAACGCTCAAGTTGCGATCCGAAGTCCCAAGAAACTTTCCGCCTGAAAATTGACTGCAAGATGTGTGTCGGGTCTGCAGAGGTGCTCTAAAGTTTAGGGTTATACCCATAGGCCCCTAAGTAGTTCCTTTTTGGGATCTCCTTATAGGATCCTAAATATGAACCACAAAAGGAGCTACTTAGGGGGCCTATGGATAGGGCTTAGTTTAGGGTTCAGGGGTTAGGGCGCAGGGTTTGAAGTTTAGGGTGCGGGAAGTTGAGGCTTTAGGGTTGAAGGTTCGTTGTCCTCTTACGCTTTGGGGCTCCCCTCACCGAATAGGGCTTGTCAATAAGGGTTCAAGGTTCAGGGTTCAGGGTGTGGTATAAGGGTATGTCAGCAAGCCGGGAAGGAATCGTCAAGACAACCAGGAGATCGACACATGGTTAAAAAGATACCGACTACAACAAGCCGATGTGTCTCGTGGATTTCAGCTAAAGTCCGCTGGAAGCAAGGTAAACCGTAGGACTTCAACACTGAAGGACTGCAACTCGTGCAAGCTGTACATAAACCCTAAACCACAAACCCTGAACCCCAAACCCCAATAACTTAATACAGCGAGTAAGTGAGGTTCTCGCAATGGACTACTACAGGACTGACTTCGGGTTGAAATTCTACTCAACTGAAAAGACATGGGAAAAGAAATAGATTGCGAGACTGGTGTACTGCGCTAGCTAGAGCTGGATCTCTGGCGCATGATAGTGTAATACTTGTGGTGGTGATTTTCCTGATGAGGAAAATGGAGGTGAAGATACCAGTGTTAGTCTTGTTGTGATGATGCTGGTGGTTGGCGATGGTGACACTAATGTGAGGGTGATCGTGTTGATGGTGATGACAATGAAGATGGGGTTGGCGTCGGTGGCTGCTTTCATGGTTCACCGACGAATAGGATTGTAGGTTTTAGGGGTAAGGCCTTTGGAGTGTTTTTGGAAACAGGGGCCTGACTGCTTAGGGCTTAGAGGGTTTAGGGTTTACAAGCTTGAACCCAGGCTCTAAACCCTAAATCTGGAACCCTAAGCAGAACCCTACCCTGGAAAATCGCAAGACATGCATCCGGAATTGGGGGCTTGGCTGGCTCACGAAGACATCGCGGCTCTTGGGAAAGTGCCTCCCAGGGATACAAGGCACGGGTCTGCGGCCTACCATCCGAATGCATGGTTCAGGGTTTAGGGTCTAGGTTTAGGGTCGATCCGAATGCATGGGTGTTGCTACTGCTTTGCTTGTTGATTAACAGATGATCATTTTAGCCATCTCACTCCTATTGTTAGTGATACTGTGATTGCTATTTGTACCACTGATGCTGCTACTACTACTACTACTACTGCTGCTATCAAACCCCACAGCAAAAACTTTGACCCTACCCTCCGGGCCCGAAGCCCCAGCTTTTCGGCCCTAGGACCAGATCCCTAGGCCCATAAGCCCTGATCCTGAACCCTAAACCCTAAACCCCTAAAGCCCTAAAGCCCTAAACCCCTAGAACCTAAACCCCTAAACCCCTTATAAACCCTAAATCCCCTTAAGACCTAAAATCCTAAGACCCTACGCCCAAAACCCTAATTTCGAGCATGAGCCAGAGAACCTGGGCCCATGAATCTGAGACCACAGCCCTTGACCCCTCAACGCTCGATTCCCAAACCTCAATTGTCCCAAAAGCCCGAGACCCTCCTCTCCAGGGTTTAGGGTTTTTTGTCTTAAAGTGCAGGGGTTTAGGGTTTAGGGTTTGGGGATGCTCATTCCCAAACCTTAGTTTTCCCATAAGCCAGGTCTATGATATCGCAAAAAGCCCACTCTTAGCGACAAGAAGAGCTCCACCAATGTGCATTTTGATAACCTAAACCCTTAACCCAAACCCAAACCCTAAACCCTAAACCCTAAACCCTAAACCCAAACCCGAAACCCTAAACCCTAAACCCAAAACCCAAACCCTAAACCCTAAACCCAAACCCTATACCCTAAACCCTAAACTCTAAACTCTAAACCCAAAGTATACTTCACCCTGAGCTCTTCAGCCTGCTAGAACCCCTCGGAGTTCCCCCAAGTAGAAGAGCCGGAAACCACTTTCAGCAAGATGGGAACTTTGATTAAGAAACCTTGGGGTCTTCATGAGGGCTCCTTATTATGAATCCTAACTTAACAAAATTAGGGTTTCGTATAGGAATCCTAATATTTTGGGGTTTTATAGGGCCAGGGTATCTTAATCAGGTTCCCACATTAGAAGTCTTGGTGCCGAGTCCCACCAGGCATCCCAGAAGCCCACAGCAGCCATGAAACCGAAAGCATTGGCTTTCAGGAGGGTTGAGGTTGGACAGGGTTTCATAGGGCTTCATCGCGCGTCGGGGGGATCAAGAACTTCGGATTTTTGTTCGGCTTCCGTGTGTCTTTACAGCCGGAAGTCCTCTAATCTCTTCGCAATCCAAAGACCAAGGGGAACCCGTGCACAAAACATACTCGGAATTCTTGATCCCTAACATGGAAACTCTACTTCTGACTAAGTAGGTATAGGACCCTGGGCATTATATACCAAAACCGAAGACTAAAGCCAAAAGCGCACTAAACCCTAAACCCTAAACCCCAAAACCCTAAACCCCAAACCCTAAACGCTCGAAGCCCGTCTGCGGAAGCCGACCCGGTGATCTCGAAGCCGAGCTTGACGCAAATCATCAAGGAGTGGATCAGTGTCACCACGATGAACACCAGCACTCCTCCGGGATTACGCTTTAGAGGTGAAGTTGCGCTTGAAGGTTCGGGTTTTTGTGGTAGCGGCTGAGGGTCTTTAGGGTTCAAGGATCAGGCTGGGTACGGCCATCGTGATGACCATGAAACTGGATGAGCAAGATTCTAGATAGTACCTATAGTCTCCATTGTAGTTCCTTCTGTTGGTTTAACCAATTATATATTAAGGGCTTTGTAAGGTATCCCCAAAAAGGAACTGCAATGGAGACTATAGGTAACGTCTGTGATATTAGTCAGCCTGTTAAGGCCCGGCAATGCTGAGAGCCATGACGATTGCAACACACAGACAGGTGCGATGTGGTGACCTGTGTTTCTCGCGCAGTGTGCTGTGCTGCCTTTGAGCCTTTAGACTTCAGCAGCTTCTTCCGGCTTAGATCTTCCACAGCCGAAGTAGCTCGTGCTTAGGCTTTGGGGTCAAGGGCCCTAGCCCCTGAGCCGTTCCAGGTTTGTGGGCCCTCAGACCGTCAACCGGACAAATCCGTCCGGAAGCTAGTTCCCTAAGGGTCCATGAACCCAAGTAGTCTTTACTTTGGCCTAAAAGAAATCCCTATACAGGTACTTTGGATCGAAAGTATATACTAGTTGGCTACATCGGCCCTTAGGGGCTGAATTCAACACATTTCCTAAGTCGCTTTGGGGGTTGCAATATGACGAACCTGAACACATGCATGTTGCAACCAACACCCAAGCTCAACTCTCAAGCCTAAACCTAAAGCCTAACCCCCAAACCCTAAAGCCTCAACACCCAATCCTAAACTGCAAACTCTACACCTTAAAACCTAAACTCTGAAGCTTAAACTCTAAAGCCTCAACCCTAGACCGGACGCTAAACCCTCAGGGAGAATCTACGTTGCTGAGGTGGTACGGAAACAGGTAAGATGCAACTTCCACCCCGCGGAAAATCAGCCGAGCTAGGGATTAGGGTTTAGGGTTTAGGGTGTTGAAAAGCTTGAACCGTTTAAGGGTTTGATATATAAGGTCGCAGACAACAAATATCGAGGCCTGAATTATTAGAAAAAGGTCTTGCTTGGCTTGTATTGCACTCTGTACTATACTTGTATGAGAACGTTTGGGAGTCTTTGCTACTACTGATTTTGCATACCCTCATGTTGCCTCTGGTATCCAACAAACCTGAACTAGGCACCTGCACAGTGCTCTTTTCTGACATTCTGGCGCATGCCGGCGGCAAGAGAAGACAAGGGGATCGGCTGCTTAGGCCGGATCGCTTGTCTACATAAACCCTTAACCTAAATCCCAAGCCCTAAACCTCAAACTGGTCTGTGTACATACCTCAATTCCCTTTTATAAGAGCAGAACCATTCGGTTTCGAGTTAGGCTTGGGGTGCGGCGTTTTGGCGGAAGTTCGGGGTCCGGACGCACAGAAGCTTACTTGAAAGATAAAGGGGACGTGACGGGGCGCGTAGACGACCCAATTCGACTTACTCGGTCCCCTAACCCTTCCAGCAAGAGCTGCAACAGGTGCTGGCGTGTACAGTACACAGAAGGTTCTGTCAACCCTAAACCACCTTAAACCCAAAGCCCTGGATCATTTGGAGGGTGCAGGTTGACCTAGTAAGTAGGTAATGTAGGAGTTATGAGTACCCTACAAGGCACCCTGAGTTAGGCTATCCTACTTTTCTAGCCGCTACTGTAGAACTACTCACTAATTCTCCCGAGCCTCCAAGTGTGGTATATCTATGTTTAGGAGCCCTTAAGAAGTCGCAATACTCATTTCTAACCACGCCCCTGCGCTCGGATTTGAGCTTTAAAACCCTAAACCCCAAACCGCTGAACCCTAAACCACCCAAGCCCTGAAACCCCAGAGCCCGGGAACCCCCAAGTTTCAAACCCTAAACCCTATAAACCCTAAACCCTAAATCCCTAAACCCCTGAACCTATAGACCCCTAAACTCCTAAAACCCTAAACCCTAAACCTCTAAACCCCAAACCCTTAAAACCTTAAACCTCTAAACCCCTAAAACCCTAAACCCTAAACCCCTAAACCCTAAGCCCAAAACCCTAAATTGCCAAGCCCCCTGGCCCGCCCTAGACCCTGCGCCGCCTTGGGGGCCTTGGCCTCAGAAAAACTTCAATGTCACTACGCGGGCTCACAGCCCGGGCACGGGCATTGCAGTTTCCCCAGCCTGCTGGCAGCGGTTTTAAGGGTTGAGGGATGTTAAGCGATTCGGGTTTAGGGGATTGGGTGCTGGGCTTAGGTTTTTGGGTTTCGGGTTTTCAACGTCTTAAGGGTTTGAGGGGTTTTGGGTTTAGGGATACGGATTTGGGCTTCGGTTTAGGATAAGAGGTCCTTGCGGGTTTCTGTGTTGTATTTCTAGGCTTTGTGCTGCTTACTCTTTTTGGAGGGCTCCTTCTGACATCTCACAGTCCTCCCTCCACCCTGAATAAGCCCTACCCATAGGCCCCTAACTAGTTCCTTTTTGTGGTTTGTATTTTTAGAATCCTATAAGGTAACCCCCCAAAAGGAACTACGTAAGCCCTAAACCCTACAGCCCTAACTCCCCAGACTCTAGACCCTAGACCCTACTGTAGACCCCACACCCTAAATCAGGACGCCCTCAGGAGAATCGGAAGACGTTTCGAGGATACCCAAACCCACACCTGCCCGAGCCAAAACCCTAAACTGGGTTTGCCGGACAAGGTGTAAGGCGTACTTGGAGGATCATGGGACTTATAAGTTATAAGTTATAAGTAATTATATAGCACAGTTACCTTATTTATAACACTACGTCCCATGATCCTCCAAGTAGGGCCCAAAGAAGGATCTAAACACCGGATGCTCGTCTGGCGTGTTCCATGAGGCCGAGACAATGAGTTTTTAGCATCCACGCTTAGTCTTGGTATCCATATTTCGCTTGGAGGTTCCTAGCTTAAGGAGTTTGGCCCCTAGGACTTTTAGGGTCAAGGGTTTTGGGGCTTGGGGTTAAGGGTGTAGGATTTTGGGTTTAGGCTTTAGAGCTTGCCAGACTGCCAGACTAGACTCTTTCATTACTCCAACCACACTTTGCATGCCTCATATTCGGGCCGGGATTCCCCCAGGTTCGGGGCAACAGCATTGGGGCTTGCGGGCCTCAGGTGCGCGTGCCGGAGCATTTGGGTGCCTGCTTGGAGGTGTTTGAACCGACTTCCAAGCCCCGTTAAAATATCTTGGGTTTAGGGTTCAGGGTTTAGGGTTTAGGGTTTAGGGAATTGCCACAATCCCTGAAAGCTAAACCTCAATAGCTCTTCGAAGAGCAGTAGCCCTCGTACAATTAAGAACCTGACACTAAGCCTTCAAGCCCCAGACACATCCCAAACCCTAAACTCTAAGCCCTAAGCCCTACACCCTAAATGTGCCTCGACTTCCACCTGACACTAAACCCTCAAGCCCCAGACACGTCCCAAACCCTCCTAAACCCCAAACCCTAAACTCTAAGCCCTAAGCCCTACACCCTAAATGTGCCTAGACTTCGATGTGCAGCGCCCTGCATCAGCCGCGTGCTGCCATTCCTCTGCTCTGGCTGGGGTTTAAGGGTTTGGGGGTTTAGGATTGGGTTTAGGGTTTAGGGTTTAGGGGTTTAGGGTTTAGGGGTTTAGGGTTTAGGGGTTTAGGATTGGGGTTGGGGTTTCGGGGTTTCGGGGCTTAGTGGTTTTGGGGTTTAGGGTTAAGGGGTTTAGGGTTTTGGATTGAGAGTTTAGGGATTTAAGGACAACCTAAACACCCCGTATAGCACTTGTTGTTAGAGGGATCAGGAAACCGTTGCTGAAATGCTCACAGGATTTCGTAGGTATAGGTTCTGAATATGAATAAACTTATCAGACCCCTTTTAAAAAAGGGGTAATTCTTGGGCCTGGAGAGTGTAGATAGGGTTTTGGTATATTATTGCATGGTTCTAAGACTGAGAAGAAACCCTGAGGAATAATGTAACATAGTATTAGATACAAAAGTATTCCGACCGCTATGCTATGCCAAATCCCAACCCTAAAACCCAAAGCCCTAAACCCTACACCCTAAACCCCAAGCCCTGAACCCTAAACCCCAAGCCCCAAAACCCTCCATCCTAGACCCCGAAGCCTAAGCCCTGCATTCGCCAGGCCACTCTGAACCCCTAAGCCCCCAACCCTAATACCCCAGAGCGGTATGTTCACCAGCCCTACACCCTAAACCCTACAAACCTTACAAAGCCCTAAACCTTTTAAACCCCAAACCCTACCTGGACCCCAAAGAACCTAAACCTTTTTAGGGACTTATATAGAGAAATCATAACAAGGAACCCTAAAAAGGAAGGTTTTATAGGGTCAAGGTAAACCCTAATACCCCAGAAGCCCTCCAAAAACCCTAAACCCTATAAACCTCACAAACCCTAAACCCTAGACCCTAATACCCCAGTTTAGGGTTTAGGGTTCACCAGGCCGCTTGCTCACCAGCGCCGTCCCCCAGCCTCGCTGCCCCGCAGCGCGCAGCGAGGACGCGAAGCTTTGCTCAGTGTCGTCCGAGACCAAGCCTGGGATTCTGGTTTAGATGGGAGGGTTTAGGGTTTAGGGTTTAGAGGTTCCGGAAAATTAGGGTACCTTATTTTTTGGGGGTACTTGTAATAAGGATCCTACGATTTAAGGTACTATATTAGGGTCCCCTATTTTTGGAAACCCCCATATAGGATTTAGATAAAGTTTATGGAGCTGCTGATCTGTGTTACATATAGGGCATTTTATAGGGATTTTAGAGGTGTTTATATGCTTTGGTTTCTGCTGGTTGCTTTTGCTTTCGCGTGCATTTTCTAATACAAACAGTTTACGGTTCTGCTCATTGTTTTAGGGTTGTAGGGGTTACAGGGTTCCCGTATGGATGCCTCTCAATGGCTCCATTCGGGGATCACAAGTGCAAAGTGCATAGTACACGATTTTGGGGCTCTGGGGTTTATGGTTTAGGGCTTCTGGGTTGGAGGGTCTGAATCGAAGGGGCTTTAGGGCTTATGGTACTGGTAGATGAGGGCACTTTGTAAGCATAATATACATTCACTGAAAAGCGCGACAATTATGGTATTTCCGTTCGGGCACCTATAACTCTACCCATAACCTGCTTTCTAAATCACGTCAGCATTTAAACGGGCTGTCCCTTACAAGGACCTGCAGAAAATTTTCTAGACGAGTTGCAGCCTTACCGTCGACATGTTCAAAGGTTGATGAGGTTTAGGGTGGTTTATGGTTTATGCTTAGGGTTTACGGATTCGGGGCGATTGGCGTTCCGTAAGACCCTCTCTTGCTTATCAGCCTCTCACAGGATGTTTTTTAGGAGGTCTCGGTGTTTGCCCCCATCTCTAAACCCTGAACTTCACAGGACACCCTGAACTTCAACATCGAACGCCCAGCTGCAGATCGTTCCCGGGTGGAGGCGCAGCTCTGGGTCTTGCAAGAGCAGCTTGATGTCGCAAACCATCTCCTTGTCCACGGCCTGGGGTTTGGCGTGATCAGGCGTTGACGACCTTTAGGCTGCAGGGGTTTGGTGCTTGGGTTGAAGTGGCTGTTCTTGACAAGGTCCTGTTTCCAGCTGAGATTAAGACATAGGGCCCTTACCCCCAAACCATGGAACCCAAGACATACAAGGAAATAAAAACCCTAAACCCTAAACCCCTAAACCCTAAAACCCTAAAACCCTAAAGCCTAAAAGACAAGGGAGGGTTTACAACTCAAGGGCTCCCCCCAAACTCAAGGGCTCCCCCAGCCAAGCTCGAGGCCTCTAAAGCCATGCTGAACTCTCCACAGGCAACGACTTCTAAGGCCCTAGACCCTAAACCCCTAAACCCCAAAACCCTTAACCCTTGAACCTTAAATCCTAGACCCTAAACCCCTAAATCTTAAACCCTTAACCCTTGAACCTTAAATCCTAGACCCTAAACCCCTAAATCTTAAACCCTTAACCCTTAAACCTTAAATCCTAGACCCTAAACCCCTAAACCTTAAACCCTAAACCCACAATCCAAGGCCCTACACCCTAAACCCCTAAACCCCAAACCCCCCGAACGCAGAGCCCCTCGAGCCTTTACCCCAAAAAACCCTCAACCCGAAACCCCGAACCCTGGACCCTGAACCCTGAACCCTAGATCCTAAACCCTAAACCCTGCCTAAACCCCAAGAAACCCTAGGTTTCATGAGGGTTTCCTCATACACGTCCCTACAAAGATAGGTCCGAAAGGGGCTCAGGGAAGCCATTAGCCCGGCCTGAGGTGACGAAGGGAGGATTTTCAGCTCTAGGTTGGCGCCGTAGAGCCCGAAATAGCGGTGCAGATTTAGAAGGAGCAGCTCTTCGGTGTCTCCTGCAAGTAGGGCTTCGGCAACGCAAAGGGTTCCGCGAAGATTTGCCCACGATCCCCCGTGCAAAACACCCAAACCAAAAACTGTCATTTTCCTAGACCCTGATCTAAACAACTCGAAACCCACAAGCTAACCTCAAAAAACAATTCCTAATCCAAGACCTAGAACAAAAGTACGGTAGGCCAACGCCCAGTGTCGGCAATACATCAAGAGGTAGCCCATCTGGCCAGCCTCCATCTTCAGGTCCTGTAACCTGAGTTTAGAGGTGCAGGGCAGGGATTAGCACATTGGGGGTTGAGGGTGCAGGGTTTAAGGGTGTAGGAGTTTTAATATCTAAAGCTTGCCTGGAGGCTTGGGGGATAGGTTACAGGTAGAGTTGTGAAGCCGTACAACTCTGAATACAACTTGGTTACAGCACTACCAGTCTCTACTTCAAGGATCAGGGGCCTTCGCAAGTAAGCTAATCATCAGTAGAGCTATGTGTGTTGTATGTGGACTCTCATCCAGCCTATATGTACATATAAACGAATACATGAATGTTTACACAAATATTTATTCTGCTATATCCCAAGTTGCTGAGTCCCTTGATTCTTTGAGTTTGTGATCCTTGAACCCATGGTTTGTATGAATCATGAGTCTTAGCAAGGTAGGTTTCGTGTCATGATTACTCTTCTTACTGCTACAATTGCTGACTATGTTCTGAATGAAACTGTTATTGTAGCTGCTGTTACGACTCTGATTATGATGATCAAAATTGCGATTACTACTATTTTTCTTCTTGGACATTTTATGTGTATTCTTATCATGGATATGTTCACTAGTGCTATTATTACTATCATTATTGTTGCAATTATTATGGCTATTATTAGTATTGTTATTGTTATTATTATTGTGATTATTATTATTGCTGCAGCCCACCAGGAACCCTACACTCCCAACACCCCTAAAGGAACTCCTGCACAGCCCTTCGAGGATCCTTTAAAGGAGCCCTGCAACCCTCTAGATCTCTTTAATCACGGGAACCCCCCCCCTCTCCCCCCCTAAAAGGCCAAGGCACAGAAGCCCTAAACCCTAAACCCAACAACCCTACGGCCCTAAACCCTGAACCTCTCAAGGAACCCCTGAAGGGAACCCTTTCAAGGAACCCCCTTTAAACTCTAGACCCTAAACCCTAAAACCTAACAGATCCCTTCAAAGGAACCTTAACACTGGCCAAGGCACAGAAGCCCGGTCGGCTCCGCCGGGAGCCTGGCGCAGAAAGACGCCTCGTCGCCTGCAGACTTCAAGCATCCTCGGATTGCCCCGAGAATCCTTGGCTGCTCATTGCTAGTATAGGCTCCAAAGTAGCTCCTTTTTGGGGTTACCTTGTAGGATTCGAAACATGAACCACAAGAAGGAACTACTATGGGGGGGCTATGGGTACTCCACAAGGCTACGACTGCTATCTTGATTATTTATATGAATATACTACAATATCACCAGAGAAAGCAAGAAGTAAACCGCACATATACCAAAATGGATAAAAATACAGCAAAACCTAAACCCTAAACCCTAAAACCCTAAACTCTGAAGCCTAAACCCCAAACCTTAAACCCCGAAAAAACATCTATACCACTGCGCGACCTAGGATCTCGCTTTCGGGGTCGCTTGGCCTCAGTGTGGGGCTTCAGGGCGTGGGGCTTTAGGATTCAGGGCTTTGATTCGGGTGCGGCAAACCCTAAAACCCTAAACCCCAAACCTGGTAAGGCTTAGGGTTTAGGGTTTAGGGTTTAGGGACATGTTTTAAAGGTTGCATGGAGTTTCAGGTTGTAGCGTTGGGCACCCACAGGCGGAGGAGTCTGTGGCTTAAGCTGGGTTGAAAGATCAGGGTCAAACATGCTTTACTTGGAGGGTCACGATTTTAAAAAAGGAAAAAGGTACGTATACTTAGAAGTTAGGACTACTTATACACCCAAATAAATTAGGGTACTTGTAAGCTTACTAAGTCACCAAATCCTCTAAGGAAGGCTTCAGTCGTTGGGGCTTTGGGGCCAAAATGAGGCATGAGGGCCGTGGGCCAAAAACAAAAGCCGAAGCGAGCGCTTCGCCAAAAAGTCATCAAGGCCCTGACATACTCAGAGACTCCAAAATCCCCGTAATATCGGAATATACCTTAAATCTTATTACGGTTCCTTCACCTGTCGATCCTGAACCCTAAAGGTTTAAGCCCTGAAAGCTTGAGCCCTACATACAACCTTACACTCAAAGCTCAAGTTTAGGATTGAAGGCAGATTACCCATAGGCGCCATAGCAGTTCCTTTTTGGGCTTGATCCTAAATATGAACCACAAAAAGGAACTACTTTGGAGCCTATGGGTAGGGCTTAACACTGCAACCCTGAACCTCTAAATCCTTGATTTCTCCGCACGGCGAAAGCCCGAAACCACCAATTCGAAGCCAGGGTTCTTGACCAGGAGCGGAACACGTTGGTTCCTCTCTTCCTCGCCGCCTCGCAGAATAAGATTGTCTCCTGGGACAGGAGCTCCCAGTTTAGCCATCTTCAGGGACCTATATGACTTCTAACTCTTACAGGATCTATAGGAGTTCTATGTCAGGGTCCTAGAATATAAAGCCACCGACAACGACCAAAGAAAGGAGACTAGCGTTGTCTCCCGAACCGAGGTTCTGAAAGTGTGTACGTTGGCATACAGTCGCACAGTCGGCTTCGCGCTGCTGTCTTGGCTCAGTCTGTCGCAGATAGCCGCGCTACAGGCCCCCAGAGAGATGTCCTTGTACGGAAAGAGGTTGTCCAGATCCCAGAATACCTCGAAATCAAAGCACGATGCGCTAAACGATGAAGGCCACTGTCCTGAGACGCCAACCCTCCATGATTTTCTCTTACAAAAGACTCGACAGGACCCGTTGCACTGAGACACGAAAAGCATGCAACACCATACCGCGCTCGGAAATCCCGCTCAAGTTTATGATGACCGTTGGAACATGCGGATCCGAAGTCTAGCTTTGCTTCTGACTCTACTTACCAAGTGCTCTGATACCTGAAATGCAGAAAAGTCACAACCGGCTTAAGCACTACATAGAAAACCTATAAAGGCTTACATAGTCCCCTGGCCCCCCACCTCCACATTGTTGGACCTCTTGCCCCAGTGCCACTTGGAGTGTGCGAAGGTAGCCGGGAGCACCTTTCAGATACGGTTTAAACCCTATAAACCCTAAACCCCGATACCCCAAACCCTAAATCCTAAATAGGGCTCATAGGGTTTAGGGATATTCCTGTGATTTTAAGCCCGATGGGCCCTACCCTACAGCCTAAAACTCCACAAGCCCTAAACCCTAAACCCCTAAACCCTAAACCCTACATGCTAAATCACCTCCGACGCACACATCGGGGTTCAGGGGTTTACGCGGTTTAGGATTACAAAAAAAGGCCCCTAAAGGCTTAGGGTTTTACAAAAAAGGCCCTTAAGGCTCGGGGTTTAGGCTTAAAATCAAACAAAGCCTGCGCTGAAACCCCTGATTTCCTGAAGAATCTGCGCCACTACAGGACGACAACTCCCCCCGAAATAACGAAGCCCTAAACTCTAAACCCTAACGACCCCCAATTTCGACCAGACTACACCCTAAAACCTCGAAGCGGTAGAACCCTCTAAAACTATCTAAATCTCAACAATGCCCCGCCCCTCAAAAACATACTGTGAACCCCAAGAATAAGACTACGAAGCCCTTGGATGGGCCCCTTTTGAAACCCCCGCCCTACAACACCCTCATTCCCGCCCCCCACTGTCAAGTCCGGGAGACATGCAGCCAGTGAAGACCAAAGACAGCCAGAAGCCATGACTTTGCCCGTCGGCGCATTAAGGCTCAGTTCATTACGCTAGCCTTTTTGGGTCTAGCGTTTAGGGCTTATAGGGTTTAGGGTTTTAGGGTTTAGGGCTTATAGGGTTTAGGGTTTATAGGGTTAGGGTTTATAAGGTCGCTTCCAAAAATCACTGCGACGTGCTGAGTATGTTCAGAGCTCGGAGTTGAAGATGCAGCCTTTGACGCGGCCCCCGGGGGCCAACTCGCAGAGAAATTTTGGGGCTCCCATGTCTCCGGGCGTCCACTCGAACTTTTCGGGGGTTATGTGGTTTAGGGTTTTTTTTTGGGGGGGGGTTAGGGTTTAGGGTTTTAGGGTTTCTTTGGGGTTTAGGGTTTTTGGAGACTTCAGGTTCATGACCTGGAAAGTCCAGGGTTTAGGGCTGCCTGAAGCCATGGAGGGATTGTTTGCAGATGCTCGAGTACTTGGAACATTGGCGTTTAGGGTTTAGGGTTTAGGGAGTACTTGGAATATTGGGGTTTAGGGTTTAGGGAGTACTTGGAACATTGGGGTTTGGGGTTTAGGGAGTACTTGGAATATTGGGGTTTAGGGTTTAGGGAGTACTTGGAACATTGAGGTTTAGGGTTTAGGGAGTACTTGGAACATTGGGGGTGAGGCAAGCCGACCTGGAGCCAGATGACTGGTTGTCCTTTGACCGGTTGGACGTTGGGAAACATACTGACTATAGGGTCGCACTCGCAGGAGCAAGTAGACTTCTGAACCAAACGTGAATTGAAATTCACAGAATACCATTCCTTTACCCATAGGCTCCAAAGTCCTTTTTGGGATTACCTTATAAGGATCCTACATATGAACCACAAGAAGGAACTACTAAGGAGCCTATGGGTAAACAGGGCCGGTAAGGTTTAGTCGAGTCCTTGGGCTAGCCCGGCTTTGCGGAGTTAGGGTTCAGTGCTAATTTTGGTGCCGTGAATACCAAGTAACGGTTTAGGGTTTAGGGTTTAGTAGTCTAGAATTCACCCTGAACCTCGTATCCCCAAACTCTAAACCCTTGTAAACCCTAAACCCTAAACCCTCGCAGCCCCAAGTCCCCCCAAACCTGCACATCATCCTGATACCTCAAGCCCAGAATACCCGAAACCCCCATCGCCCAGACCCTAAACCCGTAAACCCGAAACCCTTAATCCCCAAAACCATGGCATGAGTCCCAGAAAAAACAAGCTCTCGGAAGCAGAAACCCTAAATCCATAAACAAGCAGCAAGACTCCTAGACACACTAAACCCTACACCCACAACCCTCCACCCTTTCCCCTAAAACCCTAAACCCTAAACCGGGGGGGGGCGTCCTAGGGTGCCTTCAATTTTCAAAAGGCCAGCGATGCAGCCGGACATGACCTGAAGGCTTCCGGAGCTTCGGAGTCGGGATTCGGGGTTTTAGGGTTTGGGGTTTGGGGTTTAGGGTTCAGGGTTTAGGGTTTTAGGGTTTAGGGTTTGGGGAATAGGGCTTAGGGTTTGGTCTTAGACTGGGTATCCTAGTTCAGGAAAGAAGGTTGAATGTTGAATCTTGATTTCCAACAAACAAGCCTCTCTTCATCAAAACGTTGGTTGTGCGATCGCAACTAAGGCCTTTCAAGCATGAGGGTTGATTCATCTGGGGTCTGCATTCAGGTTGAAGGCAGTGGGGGTTGCGGGTTCAGGGGTTAAGGCTTTAAGCATAATTTCCAGGGCTCGGGATTCCGGTTCCCTCCGGATGCTTCTCCAGGGGGTCTACGCCAGTTTCTTTCATCATGTCCTACCAAGATCCAGCAAGTAAACTCGAGCCAGGGTTATAGAACCAACACGGGGCTGTAGTTTCAGGACTTAGAACATGGTTTCATCTGACTCGTAGGCATAATGCAGCTACATGCTGAACCATAACTAGACTCCAAACTAAACGCGTGGGGCATGGGATTTGGGGGCCTTGCTGAAACACCCAGGAAGACTCGGAAGCGAATAGGTTCTCTAAGGAAGCAGTAGACTTACGGTTAAAGGGTTGAGCATTGTCGTATCAATAGGGTATAACCGGCTTACTAGGTCTTCTGATCTTTTAATTCAGGGTCGAGAGTCTAGGGCACGCATGAAAAGTGGGGGTTCTCAACCGTCGCATCATGCCTTTTCGGAAGTCTCGGTTCAATCACAGTACAGCAGTCATGCAACAACAACGTACGCAGAATCATAATCATGCAATCATACATCGGACAGTCTGTCTGTCTCTAGAGAGCTATTTTTCTATCTGGGCATCGATCTAAACATCTACAGGTCTAGCTAGCTATCCATTTGTCTACTCCGCCTCATCCTACTCCTACTCCGACGCCTACTCCCACTGCCACCTGCGCTCCCACTCCTGTTCACACTCCTGTCCCTCCTCCTCCTCCTCCTCCTTCCTCTGCTGCCACTAAGACGACGACGCGACGACGCCGACGACGACGCCTACTACTACCCCCACTACACACTACATGACTACATACTGGTACGGCTACTGCTCCTGCTCGACTGCGCTACTGCTCTATTACGCAACTCTGACTCTAACTATAACAGCAAAGATTCAAGGCTAAGTGTTGAGCTGCAGTTGGAATNNCGGCACCCCAGCGCAGATCCGGCAGTTGCTCAAGGTCCTCCAGAGCCAGGTGTAGGGTCTCAGCTTTAGAGTTTGGCGCCACGAAGCTTTCATGCACGGGGCTGGACGGATGGACTGTCTGTTTTCATGGAGCGCTAATTGAAGATTATCAGTCATCATGAGTCATGAGGCTTTCATTGCTGATCAGAAAGGGCATGTTACAGAAGCGGCATCAGATTTCCACTGAAGTTGCACCGGGTTTCTTTTTTGGGGGGCTTGATGTTGGACATATGTGGTTGCTGTGTTTGTGGGAGGTAGTATACATACACCTGGGGCTTACATGAGCCGTTGTGCGGTTCTGCAGTTCCGGACTCGCTTGCTCAATTGAAGTCGCCGTTAGCCCGATCCTACTCTGCTTGCTCGGAAACTGCGACACATCGGCTTGAGCATGCTCGTTGCTGATCCTGTTGATGCCGCTGCTGGGCGCGGCTTGTCATAGCAAACAGCTAGCCTTGTGCCCTTAACCCCGAGCTGCCTGCTACCTGTGACAGACGAAAGAGGGCTCTGAACAGCTAGTGAGATATCCGTTTGTAGTCCTTGTAAAACTTTCCCTTGGTATACCCCGAAAACCCTTTCTAATTCTCAAGCCCCCCCCCCC